AGGCAACTTTACTAGTTCCCATGTCTTATTTCTCTAAGGCTTCCATTTCTATTTTCATGACTTGAATCCATTTCTCATTGGATAATACCTCGAATAATGTAGTTGAAATAGAAATAGTGCTTAGGCTCACAAGGAAATTTTTGTGGGATGGTGAGAACTTTTCAAATGACACAAAATTAGAGATTGGGTATAGTTGATGCTTAGTATATTCTCTGATTCATTTCCTAATGGCAATAGGTAATTATAATCACTAGTTATAGTTTTAGGAGATTCATGCTCATTTTGAGAAACAGAGTCAAAGATTTTAGTTATCTCATTTCCAGAGTTAGGATTAGGCTCTTGGACTTGCACTAGTTCAAGATCTGGAACTTTCCTCTTGAGTACACTTGTAATTCCTTTATAGAATCAAGAATAATATTATCTTTTGTCACATCTTCTGTGTTTGGAATGGGTTCAGACTCAAATTCAGTGTCTGACTTGGACTCAGAAGAAACAGGTTTAGACTCAGAAGAATTAATAGGTGAAAATGTTGAAGAGGACAACTCAAGCAAAAAGAAGTCGTTATCCTTATCTTTCATTAATGAAGTCTTCCTTGAAGATAAGGTTAAGTAAAAAATGGTTTACTTTCTTCAAAAGTGACATATACAGCCACAGAATTTTTTGGTAAGAGGATGATAGCACTTGTACCTTTTATGAGTTGATGAATATCCCACAAAAATGCACTTAATTGCTCTAGGATCCAACTTTCCTCTATTATGATTGTGAACATTAACAAATGATGTACAACCAAATCTCCTCTGTGTGAGGTTGTTTGTGGTATTAAAGTTGGGATAATATTGTGAGAGTAGTTCCATAGGAGTTTTAAATCTCAAAATCCTTGAAGGTAGCCTATTTATAATATGTGTGGCAGTGAGAACAGCTTCCCCCCAATAGGATTTGGGTACATTTTCTTGAAAAAATAAAGCTCAAGTTGTGACTAGTAAATGACTGTTTTTTTTCTCTGTCACTCCATTCTGCTATAGAGTATTAACACAAGATGACTTATGGATAATTCCTTCCTTTTGGAAATAGGTAAATAAACTTTGGTTGAAATAGTGTCTTGCATTATCATATCTAAATCTCTTAATTTTCACTCCAAATTGATCCCAGATTATGTTTTGGAAGCTTAAAAACACACTATTCACATCTAATTTGGATTTAAGTAAAAATATCGAAGAGACCTTGATATAATCATCTATGAAAAAAACAAACTACCTTATACTAGAAATATTAGGAATTGTAGAGGGACCTCATATGTTACTATGAATTAAGTAAAAAAGAGTAGAACTTCTTTTATTGCTAACTGGAAAAAACACACATGTATGCTTTGCAAGTTCACAAACATCACAATGAAAATTTTCGACATTTAATCCATTGAACGAAGAAGGAAACATGTTTTTCAAAGTTTCAAAAGAAGGATGTCCAAGATGAAAATGATAAAGCCAAATTTTGTCTTTATTAGGGGATATTTTAGAAAGAAATGACAAAGGTAAACTATTCTTGATATTACTTGTGTTGTTTGATGTCTCAAGATAGTATAGTCCATCCTTCTCCTTGGCAAATCCAATTCTTTTCCCTGAACATGGGTCCTGAAATTCATTGTAAGAAGGATAAAAAGTTACTTTGCAATTCATGTCTCTGGTAAGTTTTTGTATAGATATTAGATTAGTAGATAATCTAGGAACATGAAGAACATTTTTAAGAACAAATGAGGGATTAATTTGAACATCTCCTAATCCTACCACTGTAGTAAGTGAACCATTTGCAACAGCAATTTTCTTATTACTAGGACACAAGGTATATGTACTAAACTTCTGTGAGGAATGTGTCATATGGTTTGTGGCTTCTGAGTCAATGAGCCAAGAACTTGTAATAGGTTTAATCGAGACATTTAATTCATAAGAACCAGAAGCTTTACTTCAACTAAAGACCTTACCCAAAGAACATACCCTAGTAGGCTTTTCGGGAGTTATCAATAGGCATCTTAGTTTCTCAATCTTTTCTCTGTCCGACTCTTTTGTTCCCAAGACTTCTATAGTATTCTGGTGATTTTACCAATTGTCACTTCCTTAAATTGGGTAGTAGTGGCAGATTATGCTTTCTCTGGCATGGTTATCTTTCTCAGAATTAAAACGAGTCTTAATAATAAAGGTTTAACCAGAGACAATTCTAGGCAATGAAGGCCAAAGAAGGAAAAAATAAGACTAAAAAATTTAACAAGATTTAGCTATGAAGGCCTGAAGTAGAATTTAGCAATGAAGGCTGAAAAAATTTTCTTCCCAAGAAGAGCCTAAAGCTCTGATACCATGTGGAAAAACTAAGAAATAACACTGTGTGAAAAAATAAGAGTAAAACTGAATGTATATTGAAAAACTGCTCATAAAAAATTATACAAGCACCTTAGATTTTTATACAATTAACTAATGGGTAAACTAGGAAACTAAATCTTCCTAAAGCTGATCCTATAATTGAGGGATTGTCTATCCTAATTTTTTGTCCTTAATTCTAGGGATACAAATACTTAATTCTAGAGATACAAATATAAATATACAGATTACAAGATTCCAATCAGCTGTAAATAAGTGTATTCCCACATATATGATGGACACTCTATCCTTTTCTTCCTCCCTTTCTGTTCTAAGTTATATGTGATTCTCATTATCAGTAATGTTCAAGTTGTTGGTGACTTAAACAGCAAGTACAGGATGATCATTTTTGTTTCTTGGCTTGTGAAATGCAGAGAGAACTTCAGCGAGAATTGGAGCAAGCTGAATCTGGACTAAGGTCTTCAAGGCGTGACTTCCCTTCATCTCATACTAGGTATGGCTTTTTTTCATCTTTGTCAAACTAATCATTCATTCTGGTGTTTTTTTTCCCCAGTGGGCCAAGTACTAGCTTATAAAGAGTTACCAAATCTACAACAACAACAACAAACTAACCCTTATATCCTATAGTTACCAACTCTATTGTGACAAAAAGTAACATTATTCTATTATAACATTAGTTATAAGATAACCTATTAATCATAATTTGCTTTTGAGAATACTTGCATTACTTGCTATTTGTAAGTTATGGTTATTTGGCTTGATGAATTTGGCAAAATTTTTTCTGCGAGACATCATAATTTGTTTGTTCTGTATATTAAAAAAATTCAAGTAGAACTGTGGCTTTCTAGGTGCAATCTGCTCGTTTTTGTTTCCTTTGAAGTATACAAGATTGCAGATGGGATGGATTAAGTTTCTTGATATCTGATAAAAATAATAGCAGCTAGTATATCTCTGCTAATTTAAGAATAACAGTTGTCTATGTTTTATGTGTCTGTTTATTTGAATTTTCTATGATTATGGTCTACTTGGTGAGTTAAAATTCTAGTATGCCCTTTATTGGGCTTGATTTGCTGTATCCCATTCATGATTATTCTTATCAAGTAACTACTACCTTCTATTTTTCTCCTTTTTGAACGGTATTAGCCTTTACTTAAGTACAACATTATTAACAGTGCATGGAATTTGCATTAAAATGCTTTTTCTGTTATGTAATTTTCATCTGCAATAGGCCTCGGGAAAGGTATCGTGAGAGAGAAAATGGAAGACCAAGTAATGAAGGAAGCACGAGAACTAGTAGCAGCCTGCAACCTGAAACTACCACTAGTTCATTGATTGCTGCAACACCAACGATTGTTCTGTCTGGATCACGATCGTTTTCAAGCCAGCCCCCCACCATTTTACAGTCACGTGACCGTGGAGATGAATGTAGCAGCAGTTATGAAGAAAATTTTGACGGAAGTAAGGATTCAGGAGACACAGGTAGTGTTGGTGATCCAGAGTTAGTATCCACATTCGATGGCCAATCAGGTGGTTTTGGGTCTTCCCAAAGGCATGGATCTAGGGGGAGCAGCAAGTCCAGGCAGGTATTAGAGAGAAGAGAGAGGGATGGTAGACGTGAAAGCAAGTGGGAGAGGAAACATTCTTGACCAATTGCGAGAGAAATGGCTAGGTTATTACGAGTCAAAGTGAGCATACATAAAGGGTCTTCTGTTGTGCAATTTTACCATCTCCCTATAGAATTTGAGAGGAATTGAAAGAGGCCATTGAATCCTGAGGTGATTCTGGTTCATGTTGTACTTGCACCTCCATGTTGAATATATAAACTGTTGTTGTAGCTTCTGCCCCAATGACCATATAATTTGTCAAGAGGGAAATAGTATTCAACCTTTCATAGTGGGGTATGATTGTATAAATTATACCGTTGTTCCTTTTATCAGTAAGAAATTTTCAGTGTCTGGGTGAAAGAACTCTCTCTTTAGCCATTTGACTTTGTTGGAATTAAAGTAGCTTCCTGATCAGACAGGCAAGGATGTTTTCTGTACTATCCTTCTCTTGAATTGATAAGTGAATCATCTCTGAACAAAATGGTTGGAGTTGAAACTTTAAACCCAGGAGGATAACACTGTCAAGGAAGATGTACTGGTTCATAGACAGATAATTTTATCTATTGGTCAACCAAAACCGAAACAAGTGGCAAGACCACTAAATTTTGGTTAAATAAACCCTCTTTTTTTTTTAATTTACTTCAAATTTGGAAAATCATATGAACATAGACTTGGTTGTTTGTGATAATTGTAATAATAATTACTTTTGCAGCAATAAACATTGTGAAACTTTATTACTTTAATTAATTTAAAAAATATATTTGACTCTATAAAATAATGTGTATACATGTATATTTGTATTTAAAGAGAGCTCCCGATCCTTGATCTCACAATTATATACGTGGCATAACGATATTTAGAAAAAAAATTCGATTAAAATTTTAATAAAAATTAAAAGATATATTTTATATTTCACATGTTAACACTAATTATGATATTATAATTTTATATTTTATATGTATTAAATATAAAATAGATATACAAATATATAAGTTATTAAATTTAATTGCTCTCAATTTGTTGAGTTTTTTAAAATAATCTTTATGACGAGAAAGAAAATCCTTTCGAAGTATCCTTCTAGCAAAAAAACAAAAAAAAAATCCTTTTGAAGCATCCTTGATTTTTTTAATAAATCCGTGTTTTTCTTCCTTGATTTAAAAGAAAAAGAGAAGGAAGGCCCCTCTCTATGAACATATCCCATTTTCTCTTTGTTGGCCTTCTTTATACTTTTTGAAGCTTCACTTCAACTCCTCGGTCCTCGGATCTTCAGATCCCCTCTCATTTCCAAAGGTGTGTATTTTTTTTTTTTCATTTTTTGGGGTTTTCTTTCCATTAATCAAACAACATCGATCAAACCCAACTCTTCAAAATTTCAAACAAAAATAATAATAATTTTCTACTTACTGAAATGATTCTGCCCTGACCCAAACTTTTCTCTCCAGAGAAACCCAAACCCTCTATTTGGGTTCCTAAAAAATGCAAGGAAACTAATAGTAAAAAGGAATATAGAAATGTGGGATGCAAGGATAAATAGTATAAATATGGGATATATTTTTGGAATTTTAGTGTCGAAATCAATAATCGAAAACATTTGGTTTTTACAGGTTAGTCATGGCAACAGTTAGGAATCTGAAAATCAAGACATCGACTTGCAAACGAATTGTTAAAGAGCTGCACTCTTATGAAAAAGAGGTTGAAAGGGAAGCTGCAAAAACAGCTGACATGAAAGAGAAAGGAGCTGACCCGTATGACCTCAAGCAACAGGTATTACTATTTCCAATTGCTGCTCTTTTTTAAGGGTTGTTTGGGCTGGTAAAACTTTTACTGTTGAAGAGGTTTAAGTTGTTGATAAAACCCATCTGCAAAATCCTATGTTATTTTTCATTAGTGATATTTGTTCACTGGGTAAAATTGTGTATCTTTAATTTGGAACTACATGTGTATTGCTTTCTATTAGATGTTAATTTTTATCTGCTGGGACAGGAAAATGTGCTGGCTGAATCAAGGATGATGATCCCTGATTGTCACAAGCGGCTAGAGGCTTCATTGGCTGACCTTAAAGGAACTTTGGTATTGTACATTAGTATTTGATGAAGCTATTCTCTCACTGAATTCACTGTTAATGAGCTGTGATTTGATTCTTTTTCATTGTTTGTTCTACAAGAGTCTCATAGATCATCCCAATCTGGTTTTAATATATTAATTAATGACTTTGGTCCTGACTGAATTTGATTCAAAAGTTAGGGATGAAGAATGATATTCAATATCATTTCATTAGTTCTGTTTCAGTATTGGAGTTTGTGGTGCACCAAAGCTGGATGGACTGGTAATCAAATCTGCTGCACTAATCCATTGTTGAAATCTATATTGCCATGGCCTCTGTAAAGAGATTGTTTTCTGATTGGACTATGTCCCGATAGTAGTTGTTTAGGGGTTGTGCCTAGGGTTGGCAATCCAATCTGCACCCGTCAAGTTCTGACCGAACCCTACCCTATAAGGTCTTTTTTTTTTTTAATTTTTAAATTGGGTTTTAGGTCGGATTTTTTTATAAAAAAGTCATGGTCAAGTTTCATGCAAACACACCCCAACCCAACCCAGTATATATATTATTTTTTATTATTTATTTACTTTTATATTTATGTTTATATATATTTTTATATTTATTTAATTTTATATTTATATTTAAAATATAATATTAAATAATATTTTATATTAAATATTAATATTTTATTAATTTCAGGTCGAATCAGTCACGGGTTTAAACATATACGGGTTGAGTATTAACAATAATATTTTAATATCGAATCAAGTTCGGATATTAAGTTTATAAAGTCAGGTTGGGTTTGGGGTAAAAAAATCCTCCCTAACCCGATCTATTGCCATCCATAGTTGTGCCCCGTATGTATACTGCTTATAACCGAATTTGCATTTGCTGATTTCTTTTAGGTGCTAGAAAGATAATTAGAGCTCTAGTTGCTCTCACTGGTAGATAACTGACTTTCAAAATTCACACTAACTTGGAAAAGAAATGGAAAAGTTCTGCTGTCACCTCTGTTTTAGTGTACATGGTTATGGCATTTGGATTATAATCTTTGCTGTTGTATTAGGTTATTTTTGGATTTCCTAATTTCATATCCTGATAACTTTATATATCTGATTGAAGATCAGTTAAGTAAATGAAGTTTGATTAATTACATATTTAATTTCAGGCTGAGTTGGAGGAAGCAAATGAGAAGGAAGGCTCAGAATTCGAAGATGCTTGCAGTACCATAAGTGAGGTTGAAAAGTTGTTTCAGACAACAGAGGCTTAGTGACGGCTTTAATTAGTTGCTGTAACTCAAAAAATTGACATTGATGGTTCTAAGTTTGTACCGTTTCTATTTCTAGCCACAATCAGGTTGTTTGGAATGCAGGTAAGATATCTCTTGAAATGTTAATGTTTTGAAATGAATTTTCCAAATATAATTCATGCCAATTAATTTGTTCTTGTGAGTAATTGTTCTCAGGGTTTTCACATTTTTTGGAAAACAAAATCTTGAGTGAAAAAACGGGAATTCATGCCTATTTTCAGTTGCAGAGAGCTGAGTGAGGCTGCCACTTATTCCTTAAAAAGGGAAATTTCTTTCCTCAGCTTCCTCATGTTGCTATATCTTCCTGCTTCTCCATTACGTTTTTCAAACCCAACCTCCTTTAAATTGCAATTTGTTTCAGAATCCAAACGAGATGGTAACTTGGTCATTCAAAATGGCGTGCTATGTTATGTCAATAATGCCCATTCATCGATAAATAAAACAAAAAATAAGCTTCTCAACGCATAAACAAATCTTTATCTTGTAGTTCATTGAAACAATGTTTTCGCGCTCCACATCATGTGTTCGAAGCCACATTGACAAAGCACCTTAACAACCCCAAGGCCTGCAATGAATTAAACTCAATAGCATGTACCATCTAGAACTAGTTTTGTTTCAAAAGTCCATTTGTAAAGTTTGGTTACTGGTGGAAATTGACACATGCATTTGGTTGAATTGCGTCCGCCACCTGATCCGTGCCTCAGGTGCCATTAGCGTATTTTCACACAACGGTTCCAGTTGTAACCAGTGGATGCACCGAGTTCTAAGTTTAACAGGATATAATCCAATTGGCAGTTTTAAAACATCATGGCACCAATGACAACCGAAGGTGCAGACTAAAGTTTGGTTAGGTCTAAAAGTAAAAATTGATCAATCCTTAGGAGGGAAAACCGCGAGGATGAAGGGAGGTAAAAGTTCAATATTCCCAAACCTTATCAGAACTGAAAAACAGAATAACCTCACCACCTGTACAAAGGCCCTAGCTTGAAGACTGGATAGGTAGGCGTCATTTAGGCTGTACTGACACCATAAATGAGTTATACAATTTTTGAACACACGTAAACCAGAAGATCCTGTACACAACGCCAAATGTTACAAAAACTAACACAAATATGGAGCCATCTTTGTTCATTGAAAATAAATCACACTAACTCTTTCTCTTTTTCATAAGGAACGATGGGATCCTCTCCTTAACTTTCTTCGGAAAGGCTTGCATGCCTCAATGCTGAGGTCAACGGCTGCTGCAAGTGCCATGAAGATGGCAGCATCCTCGACACATGTCACATGTCGCATGGCCAGTTGCACCAATGGCTTGCTGCTCTTGCCTTCCCCTTGTACTCTGCAGCTCATTACAAAGCCGGCAGCAATAGGACTTAATGCTGAAAAGTCTCCACTGCTTTGTGGACTTGGTATTGGAGTTGGTGCCTGCCGCATTTGTCTGTCAGTGTCGATGAAAAACTCCCCACCCTTTTCAGCACTAATAAGTATCTCGGACATGAGAACCTCTGCTGCATCCTGGGCTTCAGACAACAGGTGAAATCGGCAGCATACAGAGTCTCTGATGCCACGCTCACGCCACGCCTCAAGTTTTCCCCAAGGCAGCCAGCTCTCTGGCCTGCAAACATCTGGACGAACAATCAACCAAGCTCCTGGGTTGGACCTGGCAACCCAATCACAACCTGTTGATGGCACAAAGGGAGTGGTTATGAAGGCTGCTGCAACAGCCGAGCCAGAGAGATCATGTATCTTCACCTTCCATCCTTTCCTCTCTCTTCTCTCTGTCTCTATGTCTAAATTGTCAGCAGAACCTAACCAGTAAGTGCTTAATGGGTCCACCTTTGCTACCCTGCATAGTTCAAAACAATCATGAAAAGTTTCATTAACAATGAAGAAATAACTAGAAAATATATCTTAAATTCTTATTGATTTTTTAAAAGCAGCCTGGCTATTGTTTCCAAGAGTCAACTAAATGGGTCAAAATATATTTTAAAAACTGAGATTAATTACAGCTTTTCAAATTTTAACTTCAACAAATGGAACAGATTAAGCAATTTATAGCTTTACATCACCTGTCTCGACTAAATTTGCAACTGAAAATTGGTTGTTTGATGGAACCTTTAAGCTGTACTATCTGAGGACTCAACATGGTTACATCTTCAAATTGGAATACATATCTTGGATCAGGATCTAGTTTTACCCTCAAATGAAGCTCTGTTCCTGGTTTTCCGTTCTCATGTTTGTTTTTGCTAATGCCAATCCATCCATTAAAAAGAATCACCGGCTTTCCTTCACCCCATTCAGGACCCACCTCCAACTTGAATGTTCCAATCTGTTGTCTCTTGACTCCAACACCACAATGTGACCCTTTCCTCCCAGTGAAGACATTGATCTCCAGATATGCATGGGGGTTATAGAAACAGCCAGGCGTCAGCAAAGCCTTCAAATCAGAGTCTTCTAGATAAAAGCTTGAGGCAATGCTGTGAATATCAGGTGTAGCTTCAGGTGAGGATACTAAGGGAATTGATGTTGTTTGCACAGGGAAGCCTCGGAGTCTTATCTCACATGAATATGGGGAAGAGAATGCATGAATTCCAGCTTTTGATGAAGTCAGGGCTGATCCAGGAATCCTCAGACCCAGTGAGCCTATTGACAACCTGATGAAAGCCTGAGGATCCATTATTGTCACAAATATTTCCCCATTGTATAAAAAGCTTTAAGCTATACAACTCAACAACCCTGTCATGCAAGCAGACAAGAGAAGATTAGATCACAAAAACAAAATCAGAAGCATGTTATAGCAAACTTATTGCCTCAATAGGCCATGTGCTTGTTGATAACTTCAATCAATATCATTTTAATTAAATATAAAAGGTGACAATATAGGCAGTCAGTTAAGTACTTGAAACAGCTTAGTCAGTTTGGTTGTTTTTATGTAGGGAACATACACCATATTATGTATTAGCATATACATATTGCTTGTATGGACCATATGATCCTTGAAATGAAACCCCAGGAACTCCCAACAATCAACATAAATGTCTATACAGGATCATTAAGCAAAGTCATATATGCTGTTGTTTCCAACGACAGCCATTTTCGTGCACCTAAATGCTTCTTTTAACTTTCTGCTTACTCTTCTATAAGTTCAAAACTTTCCAGTCAACTTAAAGATAATTCAAATCGAACATTAAAATCACTGAAAAATAACAAAAATTTCAATCAGCTCATAGAAGACTAAGAAACTGGAAACAGGATGAATCCTCGAGTAGAAATAGATCTGAAATTCTTGCAATGTAAACTACAATTATCATATGTGCAACAAGGAATAGAAAGTAGTAGCAAAAGTTGACGTTATTGAAGGATATCGTGTGTTTTGGTTTCTATAAATAGACTACTAAAGATCCTAGAACTACTGGACACCTCATTTTCTACACGGTAATAAGAAAAAGAATATGCCCAGAAACAGTCAAGATAAGAAGCAAGCCATCCATGATCATTTTTCCTAACTAACTTTTCATTTAATCATTCTATGCTCATGAAATTGATCATATAAATTAAAAAAGCCATCAGTATCTTTAGTAAAATTTCATTATACACTTAACAATGCAATATGGCTTCAATCATTCTTCTGACACCTTCAAGTTCCTCCTAAAACAAACAACTGACCTCAACTAAACCAAAAGTTACCATAATTAAGCTTCCATGAGAAAGACTATATTTTAATAGAATCCAAACTTACAAACAAGAAACATGTTGTTTAGAGTTCCAAATTCTATTCTTTTAACATACTTTTCCCATCAACCAACCCAAAAAGAAAGGAAAAAACGCCTCGAAACTTGAACTCAAAAGGAAAAACCCACCAAGAATTCCCACTTAAAATAGAAATCCTGTATAGAATTTCCACTTAAAAAGGAAAACCCACATTGAATTTCAAAAAAGATTTCTTGGTTACTTGCAAACCAAACAAAAACAAGGAAACCCAACTAAAAAACCCAGCTAAAAATTTGCACCCAACCAACTAAGAAAAGTCAAAGTCACCTAAAATAACCCACACACAAACACAAAAACCCAAATCAATATTTAAAAAAAAAAAAAAAAGAACCCACCTTTGGGTGAATCTTTTTCCTCATACAAAAGCTGAAGGACGCAAATTTCCCAGAAAGGAAACCATCAAAACATCATTCCCCAGAGTCCAAAAATCCTTTCCTTTTTCTGGCTCTAACCCCAAAAAATTTCTTTTTTCCCTTCTCCAGAAAAAGCTAAGCTTTTCTAAATAATGTGAAGGATGATTGGTGCTGAAGCCCTGAAGGAAGAAGCATAAGGCTTTAAAAGGGCTTTTAAGACAATCTGGGTTTTAACGACAGACTATTTAACAAATTACGAGGAACCTCTCTTTTCTTTTCTTTTTTTTTCTTATATTTATAAATCTCTCTCCTTCTATCTCCCTTTCAATCTGTTTTCTTTTGATTATATTTCTCTCTCTAAATGTCTGTAATTATATTCAAAGATAATTTTTTAAAAAAATTGCATAATTCGTCACGAAATAGACGGAGAAAGTTAAGACTTTGTCTTTTTCTTACTATTACTATGACTATCTATGGAGAAAGGGAAGAAAAATATTTTATGCAAAACAAAATTAAATAAATAAATAAATTATTAATAGAAATAGAATAAACTAAAAAGAAAAAATCGAGGAGAGAGAGGACGTGAATACAGCTGTAATCAACGCTGGGGTTTGGCTGAGATGCACTGGGAAGAAGGAATCGCTTTCGGAGCCATATGCCTGACTTCATCATCGTAACTGATTTCTTTATTTCTTTGTTTATTATATTTTTTATTACAAAAATTTTAAAATCGAAAATATTTCAAGTCTTGATTTATATTAAATTTATAAATAGTATATTCAGTAAAATTATTAACAATGAAAATTAAATTTAAATTTTATAAATAAAATACAAGATTCCTATTAATTCAATCCATTCCTTATTGTTGCATAATCTAGAGTTTATACCAATCAAAAAAATTTTAAACTTTATATTTTTTATATATTTTAAAATTATTTTCAAAACTATGTTATATTATTTAAAAAAAAAGTATTTTCTAAATTTTCATTGGTGTTTATCTCACATCCTCGAGTTCAAAAAATTAAAGCTTGTGGAAGCACTAGTCCAAAAAGTAAAATTTGTAATATATTATTTTTTTTTAGTTTTTGAAATGTTTTTATTTTGATCTCATTTGTACATAATTTTTTTTTGGATATCCCTAAAAATATGTTTTTGGAAGTAAAGTTCTTATTTTTAAATATTCATAAAATGCTAAAGAAATTTTTTTACTATTTTATTTTTTTAAAAAATACCTTATCCAATGAGACTTGTTATCTATTATCCAATTTTTATTTTTTAAAAATACATTTTCTTTTTAAAAAAGGTTTTTTGAATTTTATTTTTTGAAAATAAAACCTTAAAAAGTTAACTTAAAAATTTTGAAAATGGAAGAATATACTTTTATCTATTTTTTTTCTATATAAAGAAGCAAAATAAATTAGTCTCTAAGATGAGAAAGAAACAAGCGTGAAGCGTGGGATGGGATGGGAAAAGCCCCACTTTATGTTTTTTTTTTCTTTTTCTTTTTTTTGACATAAACAAAATGCACAAAAAATTGCCCAAAGACCACGTAATGGAAAAAGAAAATTGACTTTGGCGGCTTAGCTTAGAGTTAGAATACTTTTTTTTTCTTCAAGGAAAAAATTATTACAACTTTTTTTTTTTTTTGAGATTTGCTAGTTGTAAAAAAATATTTATTTTAAATTTTACTTTAATTCAATTAATTTATATAATTATTTTTTAAAAAATATTTTATTAATTTAAAAACCTAAAATGTTTTTATCCTCAAATTGTGCAAAAAAATTATATGTATTTCTTTTATATATTTGTTCCAATCTCACTAAGTTTGACATTAGGACTAGAAAAATAAAAATAGGACAATAATAATTTCAACGTTCACTCCTAAATTTTTGATCATATCATCAAAATGTTAACCTAGAACCAATATGTTCATAAATTTCTTCATTTTTAAAATCTTTAATGCCATCTTTTGAGCATGATGTATGAACTTATAATTACAATTAGATTTTTGTGGTACATGTTTGAATTTTGGAACTCTAATTAGTTATTACATGACTCTTAAACAAGACCACAGGGAGTTAACTAATACTAAAGCTTTATCTTTGATCATCTTGAGTTCAATCAAAGGTTTGGATTATATATATCATGCTTTACTCAAGGAAAAAGTGTTGATAATGTAATAGTAATTATAATACAATTTTTAGTATACAGTTGATATCTCGTTTTATTTTTGATTGATTTTTTTCAGTTGTTTTTTTTATTAATTATTCTTCACTTTTTGTGAAAAATATTTTGAAAATAAAATTTTAAGAGCATTAAGCGAATGTGATGAATATATTTTAAAATCATTCGATAAATATAGATAAAATTTAAAAATTTTGTTTAAAAATAAATGAATATTGAATAATAATATTTTTTTATAAGAGAGTTCGAAGGTTAGAGGATTTAAAAAATAAATAAAAACTTATTACAAGTTTTGAAATCAAATCTCGATATAGTAAGAATTTATCTCTTAAAAAAAAATGTAAATTATTTGGATTAAACCATATATTCTATTCATTTAAAAAGTTATAAGCTTTAGGTATATGACCTCATGTGTTACGCCAACACGCCATAAGAAAGAGTCAATTATGCTTTTCACGCTTTACTAAAAAAATCTTCCAAGTGAAAACAAAAAGGGTTCCTTGAATTTTCTCTTTTTTTTCGTTTTCCATGCCCTAAGTCAAGGTAATTGGGAGGTTGAATCTCAGACAAAAGTTGCAGAAGTCTCCAAAAATGGCATTGTCAACCAACATGTTGAACAAAATCTTGCTCAAAAGGTCAAAAATTTGGCTGCAAAAATCAAGGGATATGGACAGCTATATTGCATGTGCAAGCATGAGGAAATTGGCCCCAAGCCATTAAACCACTCTTCACCTGAACATGCAAAACACTTGTAGTAGGTCGTTGTTGTCCTTGTTGATAACTCAATTAAAACCCTACAATTTTAAACAAAAAGGGGAAAAGGACCAATAACAAATGTTAAACATGAAAAAACCCTAGGTGTTGATATACAGTACATTGATTTTATGACTTTGACTCTAAATGGGTTTTTTTTTTCTTTTTTTCATTTCTTGATTTTTAAGATTCCTCATTAAAAAAAATAAAAATCATTTTCAATCCCAAATTTTCTATCTACCATTGTGACAGCTACTTTCATTTATTTATTAATCATAAAAAATTTTCTTTTCCATATATATAGAGTTAAGAAAGGATAATAAAGGATGATTGGTGAATGATGTAGAACAATCCTCCCTAGCCCCAATCAAAGAGTTTCATGAACTCTTCTAAATAGAAATTAGAAAATTTTGTCCGCGCTTAGCTGCGGGATCAAAAATCTTATTTAAATACGCTTTAAGTTTTAAAAATATTTATATATTTTTGCATTTTTTTATATAATTAATTAAACCTCTCATAAGTTTATTTTAATAAATTGAAATGTAAGGTAAAAGATAAAATTAGTATTTAAATATTTTATTTAATAATAAATATGCATTTTTGTTTATTGAAGAGTTGGGTTCAAATCTCTATCATTCAAAAATTTTATTAAAAAATAAACTTAAGCATAAATATAGTTTTCGTGTATTATATAATTTTTTATACAATAATAATATATGTATAAAATAAATACTTCAAATGTATTATTTAATCCTATTTTATGTAATTTAATTAAGTGTATTATTTTCACCCTTTTATTTTTGTTGAAATTATAAATAATAGTATAAATAGAATAATTTTCATAAAATATATAATTTATTGAAATAATATATACATAAAAATTAAAATCAATTTTAACATTTAAATTATAACTAATTCATATATTATATATGTTATTTTTTATCATTACAAAATTAATAGTTGATTGATATTTATTGCATTTGATTAAGTTCATATTTATATCAACGTTTTTATTTAATAAATTTTTTATCTCATTTTATTATCATGAATTTTTAGTTAATTTTTAATTGAGATTTTGATGATATTTTTGTGATTTTTAGGAATTTTGTGATTTTTTTGTTATTTTTTCAACTTTTTATTTTTTAATAAAAAAACTTTAAAAAAATCTCAATTGTTATCATTTGATAATCAATTTAAAAAAATAATAGAAGAACCCAAATTTAATATATTGTTATAAATAATTATAGTTAAACATTTAACTTAATAATTAATGTATTTTTATCGTACTAAAAAAATAAAAAACATGCATATCTCTTCTATTTTTTAATTGTTAATATGCTCTTAACCTTTTTACCCTCTCTTTATACTATTTAATTGAATAAAATATTACATTTATAAATTGTTATAAACTCGTAGCCTTCAAACACGGTTTCTTGCCTCTATTTTCAATATAAAACTATATAACAACCGGCAAAATTTTTTTTCAGACATAACAAGTTGTTTTACCATATATATATATGACTCTGTCCATTCAAAGGCCAACCATGTTCAAATCATCTCGAAAGCAAAATAAACTTAAAAATAAAAAATGCAAAATAAAGTAATGAAAAACATAACTTATGTCTTTGGGTCACCCATGTGGCACTTGGTATAAAACCTTGTTCTCTTACCGAAGAAGAAATTCAATAAAATCATATTCAAAGTGGATAAGATGACACAAGGAAAGAAATTGTCTATATTTTTACATTACATAATAAATGTGGATAAATGGGCTTTTTTAATATTATGGTGTTGGAATTTTAAATTTAAAATCACAAAGCTATGTGTTTTGTTTATTTACTACTTCCAATATCCTTTCACCAAGTAAATAATAAAAATAATAGTATGTTATTTCTTTTCAAATTTTCTTCACTATACATAAATAAAATGATTTGCCTAAATTATTTTAAGAAGAAAAAATTGTGATATTTAGATATGTTAAAGTGGGTCATCCCATATTTAATAAATTTTTAATATCCTTTAGTCTTATATTTAAGTTGGACTCTTCTGTTTACTATGAATTAATTGTGAGTTAGATGCTTAACAAAATAAATATTATGTTAAAATACAATTTTGAACCAAATCTTTTTAAAAAAATATCGAATATAGTACAAGATATTTAAAAAAAAAAGATATGTGATTGATTAAAATTTATAATACATTTTTTAATTTAATTTCGAAACTCTCTTATTCACATTACCTTCTTATCTATTTAGACAAAAATTTATTAAAAAAAGATACAAATTAAATTTACATATTATTTCTGCTATGGTACATATTTATCTTGAATTATATCAAGAAAATATTAATACTCATATATTGTATTTTAATATTTGAGATTTTCAAATATTGATCTGGCTGGCACATTCAGGTATTATTATACTAATTGGGAAGAATATATAGTAAGGATATGAAGCTACATAATCCTTGGTATAATTAAAGAATTATTATATTTCTTATTCAAATTTGACTAAAAACAAGAGGTAAGAAGTATGAACATAAATAAAGTTTAATCAACTAAATAATAATATTAGATTGAAACAAGTTATTGATTGAGTATGAGTGAGGACTGGGGCGGCATCACCCTTTCAAAGATACAAGAGGTTTTTCCATCATCTTTTCTTATCAAATAAGCCATGCACATGGTCGTACACGGCCTTTGTATTGCCAGCTGGGCCATCCCATCCCTCTCTCAATCCCCTTTCACACTCACTCTATGCCCCTAGCGGCTTTAGTGTTCTTTGGTCTAATCTTAATACCTTTTTAGTTTTTTAGTTCTAAAAATTCCAATAGAAAAAAATTATAAATGTTAAAATTTAAATTGTAAACTTATTGATTGTTATATTTTAAAAGTAATTGTATGAACTGAATAATTAAATCTTGAATTTGAGACATTTTAGTTTAATTTGCAATTTTATTAGTGGTTAAATTACATTTTTTTCCTTTTTGTTTGAAACTTAAATACTATAACATTTTGTTTTGATTATCCCCATTTTCTTATCTTAGTAAGTGCCAAACATGTTTAGGATAATTGAATTTGTTTTGTTCTTAAGTTATTTTCTCCAGACCAATTATTTTATGTTATTCTAGAACCTTGAAATTTTATGTGCAAGTAGACTTTGTTATAGAATCCAAGACAAATCTTTTCTCGGTCGTATTAAGGTGTCCAAACGTGGGTTACGTGTCTTGGACTTTTAGCCCGGGCTTCACTTAGATTTTGTAGCCAAAGGCCAAAACTATCCAAAAATTCTTGCACCATCATGTGAACTATTAAAATATTGTACATCTAGTAATAATAAATAAAATGTCACATTTTTAATTCCAATTATCAAAATTCAAATCCTAAATACGTACCAAAATAATATCTCTTAATTTGATCTTCCCTTTTTTTAATGTACCAATGGAATGGAAAACAATTTGTATAGTTTTGGATTTTTTGCTACATGTTCTTTTAATAGTTAAGAGAAAACAATACTAAATTGTAAAAGTGAATATAAATCAATTAGAAAGGCAATGGACAAAACTGGAAACCGTTCAATGAGTCTAGCAATGAGTTAGCACTTAACAGAGAACAGAAAAGTGTTGGTTTCCTATTAGCTACAAATAATTTCAATTGCCCCCCGTTTTCCACCAGCATATACTTCTTGCAAAGGCTGTTTTCATCAACCAAACAAACAAATGACTTGATATTATTAGCAAAGGGCTAAAGGGATCACATGCAACTCTCTTTCCAATGAAACCAACTCATTCATATACAAAAACAACAGCACATATATAAGCAGCTGTGATAGTATTAACATGCCAGGCACAAATAAACTGAAACAAATCCACGTTAATTGGGGGGCAGTCAAGAAAGGACCAAGTCAGTAACTATTAAAAGGGTATACCAGTATGATAGGAGGACATATGGGACAGAGACAGGGAATTTACTTCCATTCTTGTATCACTAATGTTTACCCAAACATGCCATGCTTCCCAAACTTCCACATGCTTAATTTCCCATGTTTGAATTTTCCATGACCATGGCCATAGTAACCCCCATGCGCAAGATGATGATCTCCATGTAGCCATATGTTGAGCCCCATATAAAGCAGCCGCAGCAGCAGCACCCCCAGCTATTAATCCTCCCACACCATGTCACATGTGAAACCTGTCCTTTTAAATTTTCTTATTCAAGTCAATAATGCGATAAGATTAAAATAAAATAGTATTTATATGTAATTGAAATCACTCCAGATCCTTTTTGAGTTTTGAAGGTTAAAGAAAATGGATGCAGTTCATCAAAGAAGAAATTGATGCGACTTCTTTTGCTTTAAAGCGAAAGTGAAAAACCTTTATTGAAAGAAGACAAAAAAGAATGACAATCAGCCATAAGTTTAAAATCCAATGTTATGTTTTGAAGCATGAGCTGAAATCAAAGACCATAAGGTCTTCTCTAGGGAGAATTAACAACTTCAATCTAATGTCAGCAATAAGAAACAGCCATAGGAAAAATAAAGGGTAATTGAGCATACCAGGATAACCAGCTGGTGGATGTCCACTATGAGTTGGATAAGCTGCCGGAGGGTATCCTCCAGGAGGAGGATATCCAGCAGGCGGATATCCACCAGGAGGAGGATATCCCCCTGGAGGAGGATATCCAGCCGGTGGGTAGCCTTGTGGAGGATATCCATGAGGAGGATATCCTTGTGGAGGGTAGGGTCCAGGCGGAGGATAATGTCCAGCAGCATAGCCAGCGAGACTAGAGAACAGCCCTTTGTCACTTGACTCGCCTTCATGCTTGTCCCTACCACCTCCCATTTTTCTTTAACTTGAAATTAGTGAGTTTGAGTAACTAGTCTGTTAAAAGTTAGTAAAACAAAACACTGTCAGCTGAAACACACTTCAAGGGAAAATATTGAAAAGAAAACGCTGAAAAGGAAAACAGTAGCAAATGCTATGATATGAGTAGAGTAATCAAGGCTTGGCTGGTTTCATAAAGTTGAGACAAGAAAAAGTGAGATTATGAAGAGAAAATAGGAGAAGATCAAGAAATTTCAATGACATTCAAGTTCCATTATTTACAATGAATTCTGAAGTCCCATATGTCAAACAGAGACAAGTTTTCCACTTCCATTAATAATGAATTAATCATAAAATAGCCATACTCTCTCTGCTATTAATTAACACTACTAATTTGATCAGGATTCCATACAGGATTCAACAGTTCTTTTAGGATTGTTTTATAATTTAAATGTAAATTTTGATTGAAATTTAATATATATCGTGATTTTGAAATGCGATAAAATCTTTTTATTTATATATAATAAGATTACTGCTTTCAATGTGATAATATCTTAAAATTTATTACCAGAGTAAATTTTCCCTTTTTAATAAACTGATCAAAAACCAATTCAATTTTATATGAAAAGCTGAAAATATTCATATTTTTCAATATCTGAATATCATGACAGTCATTTGGACCAAAAAAAAAAAAGCGCTACTCCACCATTAACTTTTTTATCTAAATCTTCACATTTGCTACATAAATTTAAGTCACGTGATAAATATAGAGAGCCGTGATTCTAAAATACAAATATTCATATTTTCTCAATTTATTTATTTATTTTTTAAATTTCACAAAACTATATCATTTTTCTTTTTTTTTTTTAACATTTAATTCTCTTCTTTATATTCTAAAATTATTTTTCATATTTTTTATTTTTTGTAATTAAAAATAATGATACATATATTTTATAAAAAATTAATTATAAAATATTTAAAATTGTTTCGTTGTCGGCAAACATGGGCGGTTTCACTGATGCACGTTGGTGCACTATACAATGTGCTGCAACACAATTGGAATGTATGAAACATTTTCGTTTCTTTATTATCTGAAATAACTTTCAAAGAAGTTGTTTTATCAAGTCAATTTACGCAACGCAAGGTTGAAGCCTGGAATGATTTGTTAATTCAGACCAGGGTTTGAAAGCGTCAAATCTGTCAATCCTTATAGCCGACTATGATAATGGTAGGATTTTTTGCTTCCTCATGAACCAAGAATGATTGTTAGCAATGGCTGTTTGCTAGTTGCAAATATGGGGTTTTCAATGCATTCAAGAAAATGCTATGAAGTTTCATATTAACAAAATGGAAGAAGGCCTAAAACTCAATTATATTCTCGAATTTGAACTTTGAAATCAATTTTTTTTTTTTTTAGTATGAAACTTTTTGCATATATGCACACATTTTTTTTTTAACAAAGAAAGTCGTAATCTAAAATAAGAAAAGGAGTTGTTGGTGCTAAAATCTTATTTCTACATTTTAAGTTGAATCTATTTTGATATGTGCAAGATGAGAGCCATCTGCCTCAATTTGGGATCTTTAGTCCTGCCGCTTTCCTTTCTTCTAATTTATTACTGTACTTTTCTGGTACAACCTCCTGTAAATTTTTGCACCTTCGAATTCTGCATGGATTTCTCTTTCAGTCCTGATACCCATTGGATTGTTCAATAACCATCCCTCATCATCACATAGCACCCTTGGATCAACCATGTCAATGTGTTGAAGTGCACCACACTCCGAGTCAAACTGTTTTCTCATGTCAACAGCAACTTCAAGCACATCAGATTGTATAAAAACCTGCCCAAGCACAAAGAAAAACCTTTTCTAATCAACGACGAAGATTTACATATTTTGAAGTGGAAAAAACACTAAACAGAAGCTTCTTTTGTGCTTGTGATATCCAAATGCATGATCTATCACTTAAATGTCCTAATAAACTGCTCAATGCTGTTTTTTGTTTGATTGACAGATGCATACTCCAAGCAACTTAAGCACAAGCGGAAGTACCAAAAAAGGATTTTAAGACTAGAGTTTGCTGGGAATAATTCAGTCGTCTAAATACTTAAGGCATCATAAAACAGGATGATCTATCAAGGCATATTTCACATGATATTTACTTTAATATAAATTTACCATAAGAAATAAATCATAACAGAAATTGGCACTATCAAACAGTAACTGCAGAAGCCTGAGATCAGTTTAATAAGATCCCGCAACAGATAATACCAGAATAAATTTCTTTTTTGAGCATGGATTTCTTCATTTTTAAAATCTTTAACGCCATCTTTTGAGCATGATGTATGAACTTATAATTACAATTAGATTTTAATGGTACATGATTGAATTTTCGAGCTCTAATTAATTATTACATGAATCTTGAACAAGACCACCGGGAGATAACTAATACTAAAGCTTTATATTTGATCATCTTGAGTTCAATCAAAGGTTTGGATTATATATATCATGCTTTACTCAAGGAAAAAGTGTTGATAACGTAATAATAATTATGATACAATTTTTAGTATACAGTTGATATCTCCCCTTTATTCTTGATTGATTTTTTTTTTTTTCAATTAATAAGAGTTATTCTTTTTTATTTAGTATTGTTCGGTTTTTGTGAAAAGTATTTTAAAAGTAAAATCTTGAAAGCATTAAGCAGATGTGACAGAATGCATTTTAAAATCATTCGAAAAAATATTAGAGATAGAGAAATTTTAAAATTTTCGTTTAAGAATAAATGAATATTGAGTAATATTGTTTTTTTTTTTTTTACAAGACAAATCAAAATTTAAAGGATTAAAAAAAATTGTTATAAGTTTTGAAATCAAATCTCAACATTATAAGAATTTATCTCTTAAGAAAATAAGTGAATTATTTGGATTAAACCAGATATGCTATTCATTTAAAAAGTTATAAGCTTAGGTATATTACCTCATGTGTTACGCAAATGCACAACAAGAAAGAGTCAATTATGCTTTCACCTTTTACTAAAAAAATCTTCTAAGTGAAAACAAAAAAAGGACCCTTGAATTTTCTCTTTTTCTTCGTTTTTCATGCCCGAAGTCAAGGTAATTAGGAGGGTGAATCTCAGACAAAAGTTGCAGAAGTCTCCAAAAATGGCATTATGAACCAACATGTTGAACAAAATTTTGCTCAAAAAGTTAAAATTTGGCTGCAAAAATCAAGGGCTATGGACAGTTATATTGTATGTGCAAGTGTCACAGGTCGAGACTTAACCTTCAAGCTTTGTAACTCCATAACTCAATTATGCACTCATCTAGCATCCTAGATAGTCTACTTAGTGCAAGTTACATCCTTATGAGGTATTATTCGCTTTGGTCCTTCTGGTCTCACGATTTTATTCAATAAAAGTATCCTCACGCCAAGTGCTTTGAAAAAATTAGGTAAAGTGACCAGTCTTCGTGACGAGAGTATCATGAGCTTGAGTGTGAAAGAATGTCATGTCAAGCACTCTAAAAAGAAGTATGTAGGGTGCTCTAATCTCTCTAAAAGAGAATAGGCAAGGTGCTCCAATATCACATTAGACACGAAAAGGGATTCATTGGAGTGTACAATGATTCACATATTTCTCTCATTGTGATATACTTTTTGTAAGATAAAACTGTGAGGTAAAAAGAGTCAAAGCGGATAAAATCTACAAGGATGTGAATCATAACAAGTGGACTGATCTAAGATACCAGATAAGTGCATGCTCAGGTTTTAAAATTGTACAAACTTAAAGGTTGAATCTTGACCCGTGACACAAGCACAAGAAATTGTGCCCCAAACCATTAAACCACTCTTCACGTGAACATGCAAAACTCTTGCGGTAGGTTGTTGTTGTCCTTGTTGATAACTCAATAAAAACCCAACAATTTTAAACAAAAAGGGAAAAAGGACCAATAACAAATGTTAAACATGAAAAAACCCTAGGTGTTGATATATAGTACATTGATTTTATGACTTTGACTCTAAGTGGGGGGGTTTTTTTTTTTCTCATTTCTTGATTTTTAAGATTCCTCATTAAAAAAAAATCATTTTCAATCCCAATTTTTCTATATACGACTGTGGCAGCTACTTTCTTTTATATATTAATCATAAAAAATTTTCTTTTCCATATACATAGAGTTAAGAAAGGATAATGAAGGATGATTGGTGAATGGTGTAGAACAATCCTCCCTAGCCTCAATCAAAAAGTTTCATGAACTCTTTTAAAGAAAAATTAGAAGATTTTGTCCACACTTAGCTACGGGATAAAAAAATTCTTATTTAAATACGCTTTAAGTTTTAAAAATATTTATATCTTTTTGCATATATTTTTTATATAATTACTTAAACCTCTCATAAGTCTATTTTAATAAATTGAAATGTAAGATCAATAACAAAATTAGTATTTAAATATTTTATTTAGTAATAAATATGCATTTTTGTTTATCAAAGAGTTGGGTTCAAATCTCTATCATTCAAAAATTATATTAAAAAAAAAAACTTAAGATAAGTATAGTTTTCGTGTATTAAATAATTTTTTATACAATAAGAATATATGTATAAAACAAATATTTCAAATGCATTATTTAGTCCTATTTTATGTAATTTAATTAAGTGTATTATTTTCACCCTTTTATTTTTTTTTGAAATTATAAACAATAGTATAAATAGAATAATTTTCATAAAATATATAATTTATTGAAATAATATATATGCATAAAAATTAAAATCAATTTTAACATTTAAATTATAACTAATTCATATATTATATGTGTCATTTTTTTATCATTACAAAATTAATAGTTGATTGATATTTATTGCATTTGATTAAGTTCATATTTATATCAACGTTTTTATTTAATAAAATTTTTATCTCATTTTATTATTGTGAATTTTTAATTTAATTTTAATTGAGATTTTGATGATATTTTTGTGATTTTTAGGGATTTTGTGATTTTTTTTGTTATTTTTTCAACTTTTTTTTAAATTAAAAAAACTTTAAAAAATCTTAATTGTTACCATTTGACAATCAATTTAAAGAAAATAATAAAAGAACCCAAATTTAATATATTGTTATAAATAATTATAGTTAAATATTTAACTTAATAATTAATGTATATTTTTTTTACTAAAAAAAGTTAAAAACATGCATATCTCTTCTATTTTTTAATTGTTAATATGCTCTTAGC